TATATTACTCATGACCAAGGCAGTCAATTTGAATCTAGTATGTTCAAAGATTTTAGTAAAAGGTTAGGATTTCAAAGTATCCATACAACTACTTACCATCCTCAAGCCAATGGGATGATAGAACGTTTTCATAGAACACTAAAGGCATCGTTATCTGCAAAATTAATTTCGAATAATTGGTATGATGAATTACCTTTAATATTATTAGGGCTAAGATCTGCTATAAAAGAGGACTTACAATGTTCTTCTGCAGAATTGGTATACGGCCAAACTTTACGTTTGCCTGGTGAATTTTTCACGTCTTCAAATGAAGAGATAGATACTCATTCAATATTAATTAATTTGAGAGAAAATTTCAACAAATTAAGACCAGCTCCAGTTCAGGAACACGGTATAAGGAAAACATTCGTTTCTCCAGAATTAGAAAACGCAGAATACGTTTTCTTAAAAGTTCAAGGCATTAAAGCCGCTTTAAAACCTTGCTACGAAGGTCCTTTTAAAGTTATTCGTAGATCTGATAAACTTTTTACAATTTTAAAAAATAATAACGAATTAGTTATCAATATTGATCAGTTAAAACCTGCATTTTTATTATCGGATAATAATGAATCTATAAAAGAAGTTAAGAAAGTTACATTTGCATTAAATTAAATAATTCATTATTTTTAGTTGTTTCATAATTTATGTTATTTTTTTTTTTTTTAAAGAGGGGAAGTATTGTAGTGCTTCGTACTACATATTACTCTTCTCTCTGTCATAATTACGTTGATAGATAAATGTTATAACCTTAAACCAGTCATCTCCACTTTGTCATTTCGACGTTTTATTTTTGTTATGTGAATGGCACTTTAGAATGTTTCGTGGTGGCATGAGACTCAATCCTGTTTCCTGCCAATGTCATAGAATTTCAAAGTTGATGACATTGGAAGTCACATCTGTTTTTGATTTGTGGTGTAGTAGGTGGAAAAACAATGGAGTGTGTGGTGGATAGCTTGGAAAGAAAAAAAAGAAAGAACAGAACACCAAGAGACAAGAAACATCAACAAATTATTATTATTTTAATTTTACATTTTTTGAAGTAACATGTTCTTGACCTTTTTAATAAAAGAATTTTAAAAAAGAAATTTTAATTATATAGTTATTTTGATACAGAGAATACCTATAAGTACCTACCAAAAAATTATGTTGAAGAATTATTTAAAGATTTACGAAATTATGATATCAGTATTAATGGAGAAATACTATCTATCCAGCTGGAAAACGTTTTAAAATTGACCAGTACTGATTCTAAAAATATACAATTCATCGAACCTTAAAGAAAAAAAAAACATTCTCAAAATTCTATGAGTGTATCTGACCGTTTCATGATTTCTTACTATTTTTAAAGTATCCAAATACTCACCCAGCAGCAAACATTTCGGTTTAATTTGACGTCGGGACTACCTAAAATATATACAGGGTGTCCCAATGAAAACTAGCCCGTTTCCAGAGCTTATAACTTTTAAGCGCCTAATCGTAGAAACGTGCGGTTTTTACTGATATGTATTATTTTGATATACGTTTTGGTTTGGTGACACCGAAATTCTGTATTACTACAGGGTGTTTTTTTAAAAATCTCATCTTTTTAAATCACCGTATCAAATTTATTTTCTAAAATACCATGTACAAATTATACATTTTCGAAAGGTAGAAGAGTGTGTCTTTCAGATGACCTAAACATACACAGGGTGTTCCATTTGATAAAATTTGGTTACGGTGAATTTAAAAGAGGAGATTTTTAAAAAACACCCTGTATTGGTAATACATAATTTCTGTGTCACTGAAGCAAAACTTAAAGCAAAATAACACATATCAGTAAAAACCGCACGTTTCTACGTTTAGGTGTTTAAAAGTTATAAGATCTGAAAATGGGCTACTTTTCATTAGGACACCCTGTATAATAAATTTGGTTGCAAAATTAGATTTAATCATATTTAAGGAAAATGTACGTTAGCTCGACGTGGATTCGACATAAGTGGAGAAAAAGATGACGTCGAAATTTGGTTTTATTGACTAAAATAGGTAAAATTATGCCTAAATCCACAATATAGTAGTCTAGTACTTTTAGTTAGCAATACTTCTCTAGGAAAATTTGACGTCCGTATAACGTTAATTCGACGTTGATTTAACCAGCTTTAGGTAGAAACTACAAACATTTTCAGATGACGAATGACTCCAAGTGAACAAAAAATAAATTTTATACTTATTTGGTAGTCGAAATATTGTAGGAAGTGACCAACACCACTGCAACATATACTTAATTCACAGCAAAGATTGAAAATAAATAAATTTTCTCGTACATGTGAACAGTTCTTCTTTGAAAAATAACAATGCCCTTTCAAAATACTCTTTAATAAGAAAAAATATAAGAAGAAATATTATGATATAAAAAAATTATAATAATATTATGAGCTAAAACTATGTTACATTTCTTGCGTATCACTTTAGAAAATCAATATTGTCTTTTTTTTTGTAATTTTCATCCGTGTTTTTCTAGTTAAGTTAATTTTAAAGATTTTAAATTTGGAATCGTACTTCAATTATCAAGAGAATATGGCGTATTGTGCTAATTCGACTTAAAAGTTAATATGACTATGGAAATATACGTATTTTACAAATAGCGTTTGAATAAGTTGAATTACCTTAAAGTTTTCGACATGTTAGTTAACTTAACCTATTTAAAGAATTAATAACTTGTAAGTTTTATCGAAACGGTAGATGATTTATTTTATTGTGAAAAACTATTTTTGTGCTTTATTTTCCCCTACATCTAATATTTTTAAACACTAAAATGGTGTTGTATCATTCCTCTGGGTCATTGGCCATTTCTCTGTGTAATGAAAATACAGAGAAATGATGCCAGAGGAATAATATTTTTTTATCTTCTTCACCATGAAAGTAAAAATGTTGTTTATTTCTAAACTTCGAAGTTAGTAAAATGAAATAAACATATAATTTGTCTACTCCATCATATTTTAGATATAAAAAATAGTGTTAATATGCAAAATTTTTTTACTAGAGGAAAGACTGCACAGTTTGTGACACAACACTGTTCTCGAAATAATTTTAAAGACACATTAACTGCGGCTCCACCAAAAGACAACAAATGACAACATGTGAAGAAAAATTAAGCAATCAAGCCTGTTGCTACAGGATTGAGAGTCGCGCCATCTATCGCTCTAATTAAAAACATTTATTGACACCCAGAGGAATGACGGTCAATGCTGTTTACAGAGAAAAACTTGTTTTTTCCATGTACGGTATATAAAAGAAAATTAGGGCTCTTCAAAGATACAACTGAATTATTTTAAGAAATAAAGCGAGAGGGTATTTAAAGTATGTAAATATTGAGTTTTATTTAATAAAACCCCATAAAATAATTCTTCTGAGCGCTTTCTGCCTCTTAAGCCATCATCAAAGACTCTATAAGAGAAAAACGGAGCTGTTACAATACAGTAAACTCTATCATTACTAAAAAATAGAATAAAAACTTTGTACACTTACTATACTCTGTTTTTAAACTAGGAGAAGCGTATTGAAAAGACGCATTTACACAGGGAAAAGTAACTAGATTTGTTACTAAGAGCGAGTTTCGAAATATAGTCGTGTTCAAAATTTATGAAATAATTATCTTTATCGGCCTTAGTCGGCGAACGGCCAATGAGCGGTTAAGAAACGAATAAATGTCATAAAAGTAATTTTTTAATTGGTCCCAGACAACGGTCGCAAATTTCACATTATTGTGATCTGAAATGTGTGTCTAAAACGAAATGTCACTGTCAAATTAAAGTCAATATGGTTGTTGATTGATGTCAGAAATACTTTTTTCTTGCTTTTGAAATCGACTTTTTGAGAATAACTATGATCTTTTTAAAACGGATATTAAATATTTAAGAAAATTGTTAATGGAATATCAAGATGTAGCCAGGTTAGTATAAAATATAAAGATCTGTTTACATTTTTAAGGATAATTTGTTATAGGTATAAAAAGTAAAAGTTAATCAGTGAATGACAAGTGGATCACACAGTAACTGGTATCTCTTCTATGAGTAATGTGGATATTATGGCTTATTTAGTGTTAACCCATGGTTAATGCGCTAGAGGGCAAATAAAGGCATTCAAAAGTTTACAGGCCTATGAGTCAGAATTTGTTTTGAAAACTGGAACCAACATTTTCATAACACTACATGTCAACATATATTTTTTAAAGTGAACTATTCATACATACCTATGTATTAATTTTAAGTATTTTTAAAATATTTTTTGTGAAAGTAATGTTAACTCATTGTGCCAAATTAAGATTATCCCTAAAGTAGTAGATGGTGTTTTAAATGTTATAACAATTTTGTAAATAGTTTTATTCTATTCTAAAATAAATAACATTTGCTTAAATATTTAGTTACATTTTAATCATTTTGGTTAGAAATTCATCAATTTTTAGTTTTAAAAAATCAGTAATAAAATTATTTTTTTCTAAAATACTTCGGAATTCATCTCTTCATGGTAATCTCCAATCTTTTTACCTTCAAAAACCAATAATGCATTTTCTACAAAACCTTCAGGATCAGCATGTAAAATAATAAGGTGTCTTCCCTTTCTTGTAAGGCTTTTTAGGAATTGCTACCTTTAATAGTACTCAGTGTAGAAGGATCCATAATTGTAGATTTTCAATACAATTGCTTACTGAAGAACTATTATTTACGAAATAAAGTAAAAAACTAATAGTGGATTCGACTGGAATCGCTCTAGATCGAAATTTGACTACTCTGCCCTGATTCGAAATTTGAATTGATATATTTTAAGAGCGTAAGCAATAAGTGCGTACCAGTTGCTGTCATTATTTATCTGTTAACTGTCACCGGTTTTAATTTTATGTCACTTTGAAAGTAAATTTTTTATGACTTGTGATTGCGAATAAATATAGTAATAATTAATCCTATATCCACAAAGTCTTTGGTGAAATGTCCATTATATTTAAGGATTTTATTTATGATGAAAACAAATGCCCATTAGCGGTAGAAACGGGAAAGATTTTATGTTCGGTAATCGATTGTGATGGTAAGTCTAGAATGAGTTAAGGGTTGGTAGGTAATTAAATTCTCAGCTCTAAAAAGATATGACAAAATTTTCTTATAGAAACTCTTTAAAGGTATTTATTTAAAGGTGAAGAAAAAATGAAGGCTTTAGATCGAAAACTCCTTGTGGAAAGTAATATTTTACCCAATGAGAAACCTGAATTGAGCGAAGAACAGACTGAAGAAAAGAACTCCAATGAATGGTCTGAAAGCATGACACGTACGGTTTTGGATAAGTATGATGAGTATATTGGGGATGTTGGGCCCATGAAGAAGTTTCGTACGAAGAAAAGAATGTGGGAATTCATGGCAGAAGAGTTAAATAATATGTTTGAAAATAATAAAACAGCTCAGCAAGTGGAAAATAGATTTAAAACGGTATTAAAACGGAAAAAGAATGCCACTGTTAATAATCATCAAAGTGGCAGTAAAAGAACAAAAATTGAATTTGAGGAAGAGCTCAACAAAATTGCCAGCAAGGATGACAGTATTGAACCTGAAATTTTGAAGGATCAAAACAGTACTATTCAAGTACATAAAGACATTATAAAAGCTGAGAATAAAAAGTCTGTGTCACTAACTGATGTCTTTAATAAAGCCCAAGAAGCTAAACTTAAACAACGGGATCAACAGCATAAAGAACGTGAAGATAATAAAGAACGGAGACACCAGGAGAAATTGCAATTACTAAAAGACTTGTTTAAAAATTCGTAGGAATCATAACTAATTTGTGTTTCCAAGATTACTTTTATTTTTTTTGTTTTTCTTAAGTTCTAAAGAGAATTTTTTGTTTTGTTTTCCATAAGTTCTAGAATTTTTTTGTTTCGTAGATTTTATTTTTCTAAATATAAGGTTCTGTATGTTTTAATAAAAAATTTATAATAATGTTTTATTTTATTTATTTAAATCATATTCAGTAGTAAAAAGAGCTATATTATGTACAATTTTGTAGGTGACACCCTTATGTTAGATTTAAATATTTTCTTGTGGCAATCTTCTAGAAACATTACTACGTTTCTCTTCGCCTTGTCTTTTTAGTTCCCTTTCATTTTCATGATCATTTTCTTGATGAATATCAATGTCATTATCAGAAGGTACAACATCTTGCCAATCATCGTTGTTGAGAATGCATAAGTTGTGAAGAACACAGCAACTTATTATAAAATCAGCAGTACGTAACACAGTAGAAAAATCAGTTCGAGTAAGTTGTCTCCACCTCGACTTCAACATTCCAAAAGCATTTTCTATTTTTACTCTTGTACTTGCATGTCTTTTATTATAATTTTTCTGTATATTGGTTAAGTCCCCATAATCTCTAAAAGGTGTTAGCAACCAATTTCTTATGGGATATGCAGAATCACCAATAATATGCCAGTTATTTTCACAAATATCTGGCATTTTTTTTGAAATAAAAGACAACTTATACACGCGAGAGTCATGTATTTTACTAGGCACACCTGTGAAAACATCCAAAAAAAGTTTATTGTAACTACAGATGGCTTGTAAAGTTAATGCAGGTGAATCATGTCGGTTGACATAGGTACTTTTAATTTTATGATAAGGTGTTGAAATTGGAATATAACTACCATCAATACAACCCAACACATTAGGAAATCCGCTGAGCTAAAAATAAATTTGTTAAAAAATATATATAATATAAATATATATAAACGGTATGAGCCACTGAATTTCTTCCAATACGCGATGTACAAGTGCGTGTGAAAACGAAAGAGAGTTGGCATTGGGGCGAGTAGGAAGGCAATGATATCAGCAGTGCAAGTTTGTATGGCTCGACCGCATTGTAGCATTGTCCACATCGTATGAACTGGCATCGCTGATATTATTCGTTTCCTTCTTGCTCTAATGCAGACTCTCTGTAGTTTTCACACGCACTTTTGTTAAGTGGTATTGAAAGGTGTTCGATAGCCGATATTTTATAAAAAGGTTTACAAGACAACTATCTAAAAATAAAGGTTATTTACCTTTTCAAATTCTATTGCCATATGAACCTTTTCCTCAAGAGTTATTGGAAATTTTATAAGGCTAGGTGCCATATCATTTAAAAACTTTAAAATTTTGGTAGTTACTAAATGGAACGTGGACTCTGCAATTCCAAAGCGTCCTGCTACATCCCTTATAACGCATTTATTTCCTGCAAACCTGGAAAATTAACATATATAATTTTCTGTTAAAAGCTCTCAATGTGACATACCATAAAAATGATAATACAGCTACTTCTGCTGAAGTGGGGGTGCTACCTCCATGGTTTTTTTCCTTCAAATAATGATTCGAGTTTTCAAATTTCACCTTTAACATTATATAAGTACTCCGGTTCACTCTAAAATTTCTTTTGAACTGTGAAGAACGTCGTATTAATTATTATTAATTATATTACCATGATTTACCATATATTTACCTCTTTTTCAGAATATGATGCTACGATATCCACATATCCAATAATTTTGGGTTTTAATAATTTATTCTCATTGCATTTAATAAGATATAATATATCGTCCTCGTTATCTGAAATATCTGAGCTGCTGTCACTGCTGCTTGATATTAAATAATCTATGGCTAATAATTTATTTGCAGAAATCATCTTTTCCGAAATATGGTTCACAAATTACTACAAAAATAATCTGAAAACATTTAAGAGGTCTGACAGCTGAGCTGACAGCTAGAAGTCGCACTTAGTTGCACTATGAAAAAGCACGGTTCTAAAATATTCGAATTCTGAACGAATACATTCACCAGTAAAATACAAATTTAACTTTACACTCGTTTTGTGCAAGTCAGTCGAATTCAAAGACGTATGTCGCTTGTTCACAGGACAACCAGTCGAATACGCTGCACCAACAAAATTCGAGATAAATGCGCATTAATGCTGCCAGTCGAATCCACTATAATAGCGGATTCGACTCAAATGCTCTTGCTCGATGACAAAGCGCTTTCAGTTCTGTATTGATTTTGGGCAGCATTTTTGTAATTCAAATTCATATCTAGCAGTGCACACAGCAAGCACGAGCTAGAGTTCGACAATGGTGTAGCATATCTTTATCCTTATTCGACTGGCACAGTTAGCACTCGACATTTCAGATTTCTAACAAATTTTTAACGGTATTTATTTTTAGTTGCCCAACCAAAAATTGAATCTCTAATAATTTCAGAAATTTTCCATTCTCACTAATAACAGAGACAAAGATGGTAATATATTTAAAGATATAAAATAAATCCTAACCTCCAAAATGACACTGGCACTGAAAAAAAGTACAGTTCCAAAAAATTCGAACTTTGAGCAAGAGCGCCTGCCAGTCGAACAAAAATTTCACTATGCCTTGGTACTGAGCAATTTCAGTCGAATGCAATAATTAACTTTTAATTAATTAGGTTCTGCCAGTCGAACAAACATCACTTAAAAAAGTCGAACTAAATGCGCATTAATGCAGCCAGTCGAATCCGCTATGAGTAATGGATGAGATATCAAATTATAAAATGTCAGACCTGTCAACAATATCAATTATTAGCTGATGTTCATGCTAAAAAGTAATGTGTGAAACTGACTGTAATCTGACCAATCAGAAGGCTACATAATTGCCAACTTAAATTCAAATCGCTCCTCTTAGTTTAAAAACAGAGTATAGTCAAAAAAACTGTAGAAGACACATGAAAAAGTAAACTGAATTAATAAGGGACAGCAACTGACCAGTACCAAGTCTCCACCATAACTTGCAGCTTAGATAATTGAAAATTTAAAAACCAAACCGAAATTCGGTAACTGACCCAGTGTAAAATGTGGTTAGGTTTTAACATAAGAAGTGGAGGTTCATCCGACCATGTAGAACACTTCTGATATTACGGAGAACAAGAAACAGCTAGTCTTCCACATGAAGGCAGCAAGATTTTGCCAATTGCTTTCGTGAGGCGAAGGCAAGTTATTGTACAAAAAATACGCACAAGGTTTTTTTTAAACCTGTGTCCATCTTAATAATGTGCCAAAATAGAATGAGTGACAATTGACATTTGACAATGAAGTTGTCAAGAAAAATGCCAACTTGAGAAATTAAAATATATTTCGTGAAAAATTGTCAAAAGATTAACATTAGAATGAAAAAAGTGGGTTGGTACCACTGAGCAAGCAAGATCAAGTTATGGCGGGACTTTTCAATTATTAAACAACAAATTGCATTGAATTAAATAAAATTATAGGTTATACATTAAATGAAGGTAAAAAAACATATTAAAAAAAAAAATTAAAAATTAAAAAGGTGCCAAGCTGAAAACAACAGAATTGAGCAGGCCGGCTCCAGCGAAACCGAAGTCGCAGGCAGACCAGCATTTCCAGCTAAAAGAGGAGGAAAAATCGTCCTGGCCACGAAATCAGCAATCGCTAAAAAAGACAAGGTCAATTCCGCTGCAAAGAAGACTAAAGGCGAAGCTGACTAGGTAACTTCAGACCAACCGTTGCCAATACTCTTAAAAAAAGGAGGCACTTTACTATTGGAATGGATTTAAATGTTAACACATGTGACATTTGGTTTATTATACTCTCTGTGTATCTCAAGATCTTCAAGCAGATTTAGTTTAAAGTTGAAAATTAAAAATATTATGAAGAACAGTAACAATCTCAGAAGGAGTGAAGTTATGATTGTTGAATTTAATATGATGTCCAAAAGTAGACTTATCAGGATATCTAATGTGTTCACCAGCTCGTATGTTGAGTCTCCTCTCGGTTTTTCTTATATTAGACGTATTACAATCGTTACACCTTAGTCTATAGATACCACTTTTGTTTAGCAACTCGATTTCATCCTTAGTATGTGATGTTGGCTTTTAATCGAATTAACATTTTTAAAAGAAATTTTAATATTGTTGCAATCCTTAAAAACTGCAGCAACATCATTGGAAATTTTCCAGATATATGCTAGTGAAAAGATTTAAAATTAGCAAAAGGTTCGTTAGTAGGATTAAAAGCAAGTTGGGACCTTTTCTTGAGTTTGACTTTATTGACAACCACGTTAATAATGGAAGGATTGTAGTTATTATTAAAAGCTAATTGTTATTAAAATTATGATTAGATAAAGGTATATTAAGGAGACGATGAACATAACAATATATAGCTGATAACTTGTGTTGATAAGAGTGGAAATTAATTAGATGGTCAGTTTGAGTAGATTTCCTGTAGATATCAAATTCAAGTTTATTACCCCGACGACTGATAGAAAGGTCTAGGAAATTAAGTGATTTACTGACTTCAAGCTCTACTGTGAATTTGATTTTACGATGGATATTGTTAACAAAAAATAAGAAGTCATGAATCTCAGTAAAATTAAAATTCATTATTTCAAAAATGCCATCAACATATCTGTACCAGTGTAAAATTCGGTTGTTAGGGAAATCATTCAAAATTTTTTTGGTTTCTAAAAAAGAACTTAGAGGATTACCCATTGCTAGGCCATTGGGTTGTCTATAGAATGTTTTATTAAAAATAAAGGAATCTTGGTCAAAACAGATTTTGAGTAAATCCAAGATAATATTGATATAATGAAGATAAAAGTTATTTTTAGTAAGAAAGTCCTTGATAATAGGAAAGGTTTCCTCACTGGGAACATTAGTGAATATATTGCTAACATCAAAAGAAACTAACTTGGCTTCAGAACTTAGATTTATGTTTTTAATTTTGTTAACTAAATACCCTCTCGCTTCATTTCTTATTA